CTTCCCTGCACACGCTCCAGCCCCTCCATGTCTCTGTGGTCTGAGGGGCCCAGAACTGCCCCCAGTGTTGAACACGTGGGATGGGACTGCAAGGAATTTGGGGGGACAGGACCCTGCCCCCTCTGTGCCTGCAATCAGAGAAGCAACAAAGGGAGGATGGAGGGAACAGAGATGTAGGGTGAGGTCCTTCCAGGTTACAGGTGTGTGTGAAGCAAAACCTCACAAATGTGATGGGTTACACTGATTTTAGTTTTTCAAAGGACAGACTCAAACTCGCTGTGTTAGTTGTTTGTTTATCTGATCTGAGTTTGGTTCCTACCTCTTCCCATGACCTGAGACAGGTCCCGGGGCTCCTCGAGGTGAGCTGGGGACAGTGCTGAGCTCCCATGGGGGACATGGCAACGTTCAGGATGTCATCGAAGCTACATGTGCCCACCCCCTGCATTCTTCTTTCTAATGGTGGGATGTTCATTCCCTCTGCTTTGTGCTTCTTCCCCTAAAGCATGAAAACCTAATGCTTTGTCATCATCATTTCTGATGTTATCAGAGCAAAAACTTCTTTCCCTGGATGAGACTTAAATCTTGCTCCTATCCAAAGGAAAGGTTTGATGAAGAACTGATGATTTGGAGCTTTTCTTGGACAAGTCGTGGTAAAATCAGGTCAGGTCATGGAAGCTGAAGCCCTGAACCTGTTGCTTGATGAGGAGATTCCTCGACACTCAGGTGCCACCTGCAGCCCAAATTCGGAGTAACCTGCCAAGAGCTGAAAAAATCATGTGTGGAATCCAAATAGCTGGAAACAGAAGATAGCTGAGTCCTGGGGATGGCTGGAAGTCTGTCAGACATCCAAAACTCTCTGGTTTTAGCCCTTTTGAGTAGTTTTGAGGTTTTTCAGCCAGCATGTATCCAGAGGACCTACCTTGGTGTGCTGACGAGTTGGAGGCAGCTGCAGCTCAAGCACAGTTAATTTGCCTGCAAGCAAAATAATTTCCCTGCCTCCAAACTCCTGGAGAATTTCCCTAAAAATCATATTTTAAATGTAGAGAAGAAGTTTAGTGTGTCCTAGCTTGCAGAGATTTGGGGGAGGGAGGAGCAGCAGCCCTGCCTCTGTGCTCAGCTGCACGTGGGGCAGATGGCAAAGGAAGAGGGACTCGGGGTTCCATCCAGGATGGAAAGTAACCTAAAAATAGAGCTGTGAGGGCCGGCTCTGTCCTGTCAGACCATTGTCTGGGATAAGGCAGTGTGGGACAACCAGCAGCATTCCAGCCCTGGGTGGACATCCTGCTCCAGGAAATCTGCCGGGAGTCTGGCACTCCCAGGGCTGGGTGATGGTGTCCCAGCTGTTCCCTGCTCAGGAGCACCCCCTGAGCCCTCCTTCCCTGTGCACACTGTGTCTGTGGGTGTCCCCATGGCTGGGGGGGTGCCCAGAGCCTGTTGGGGAGGGGATGGAGGCCTTTGGCCATGGTGGACGTGTTGCAGGGGCCAGGCCAGGCCCTGTGCTGTGTCCTGGGCTGTGCAGCTCCAGGGAGGAGTTGGGCATCCTCCCTCTCTGCCTTCTTGGAGCACAGTGGTTGCTGGCTCCCAGCTGGAGCAGCCCCAGAGCAGCTGTGGCTGCCCCATCCCAAGGCCAGGTTGGGCAACCTGATCTACTGGAAGGTGTCCTTGCCCATGGCACGGGGATGGAATGAGATGATCTTTAAAGTCCCCTCTAACCCAGACCATTCCATGATTCTATGATCCTCTCCTTTCCATGGCTGTCACCCCAGGGACCACTGTCCCATCCAGCTTCTCCTCATTTGCTGGATTGGAGATGGACGTGGCTGCTTGAGATCTCAAGGCTTGGCTGAGGTTTGTGAGAGCCCAGCATGGGCTCCTGGGGACCACAGCGGGGTCAGGGATGGGGACAGGGACAGGCTGTGGGGTGGGGACACATCAGGCCAGGCTGCCACGGACACCATGGAGTCTCCATGGACTCAGGGCAGTTGTCCGTGTTGCCGCCATCTCCTGTGGTCCAGGTTTGGGTGGCTGGAGTTGAGCTGTCCTTGGCCCCGTGGGGATTGTGCAGAGGAGGAGGGGTTGTTGTGGAACCAGCTCTGGGGTCACTGTGTGACACCTCGCAGCACCCAGGGCTGTGCCGGGGGCTGACCCGTCCCTCTGTCCCTTCCTCCCCAGGCCTGCCGCGATTTCCTGGACTTAGCCGAGA